GTAATCTGTGTATGTGTTTACAAACGGTTATAACCTAACTACTGTTTAGAGGAACCTAGGTAATCTGTGTATGTGTTTACACGGACTTAGGTAATTCCGTGGTGTTAACTAACGTTTATAACTTCACTGATAAAACTATTGGCCTCAAATGAATAGCATTTCGATGGGCTGTAAAACAAAACAAAAACAGGAGATAAATCTAGGACTTGTGTGTGTAAACAACAGTTTTTAGAGGAAACAAGAATATCTTGGGATGTATGTATGCAATCTGTCTCTATCACACACACATAGGTGACAAATGTACATGTACATATGTAACCGTCATATATAACAAGGCACATTATTTCATGTGAATCCTTAGTTCCCAACTGGACATCACCAACAATAGGAAGCAGTATGATGTTGTCCACGCTCATATCATACAATTACAAGGCATAAATTGTGTAGTGGAACTTGACTGGGGTCGATCGCCAGTGATCAGGTAGCTCTATTGAATTGTTAGATCATCCGTATAGAGTTAAGAGGGTCCCAGGTTCGACTCCGGTCTGACCGTTGCATTTATCATTCTCCTGTTACACCTGTATCTGAATAAGTCAACTCCAAATATTAACGGTTCAGGGCATTGCCCCATCAAAGTTTTTCATTGTTAGGGGCCAGAGGTCAAGTATATGTCACAGATAATGTGACCAATCATTATGTTTTTACAGATATATTGTGGGTCGCAAAGCCAATTTGGCTTACAAGTTTGATCACAAAGGAGTGATCACAGCACCACCTGAAGAAGGGGAGATAGATCTTGATAAATACGTGGAGATTGGATTGGAGGCCGGGGCTGAAGACGTCACGTTAGAATCTGACCAGGAAGGGAAATCTTTTATACAGGTAAAATGGTATTTCAAATTGTTCATTTCAGAGTTCTAGTGTTTGAAACTATTTTTTTTGTGAACAAAGTTCTAGACGAGAAAGTTTTGTGTACAGTATTCTAGTACATAATAGACCAATGAGCTTTAGGTAAGAACATACCAGACTTTTAGGTAAAATGCTCTTTTATTCATATACATGTAGTAAACTTAAACATTAGGTGTAGCATTTATATAGTAGACATGAAGGTGAGAGACATTTAGACATACTGTCGGGACTTGTTTCTGTCATGACATGGACATGAATGTGAGAGACATTAGACCTACGGTCGGGACTTGTTTCTGTCATGACATGGACATGAATGTGAGAGACATTAGACCTACGGTCGGGACTTGTTTCTGTCATGACATGGACATGAAGGGGAGAGACATTTAGACATACTGTCGGGACTTGTTTTTGTCATGACATGGACATGAAGGTGAGAGACATTAAGACATACTGTCGGGACTTGTTTCTGTCATGACATGGACATGAAGGTGGGAGACATTTAGACACACTGTCGGGACTTGTTTCTGTCATGACATGGACGTGAAGGGGAGAGACATTTAGACATACTGTCGGGACTTGTTTATGTCATGACATGGACGTGAAGGTGAGAGACATTAAGACATACTGTCGGGACTTGTTTCTGTCATGACATGGACGTGAAGGCGCGAGACATTTAGACATACTGTCGGGACTTGTTTCTGTCATGCCATGGACGTGAAGGTGAGATACATTTAGACATACTGTCGGGACTTGTTTCTGTCATGCCATGGACGTGAAGGTGAGATACATTTAGACATACTGTCGGGACTTGTTTCTGTCATGCCATGGACGTGAAGGTGAGATACATTTAGACATACTGTCGGGACTTGTTTCTGTCGTGACATGGGCGTGAAGGTGAGAGGCTTTTAGACATACTGTCGGGACTTGTTTCTGTCATGCCATGGACGTGAAGGTGAGATACATTTAGACATACTGTCGGGACTTGTTTCTGTCATGCCATGGACGTGAAGGTGAGATACATTTAGACATACTGTCGGGACTTGTTTCTGTCGTGACATGGACATGAAGGGGAGAGACATTTAGACATACTGTCGGGACTTGTTTCTTTCATGACATGGACGTGAAGGTGAGAGACATTTAGACCTACTGTCGGGACTTGTTTCTGTCATGACATGGACGTGAAGGCGCGAGACATTTAGACATACTGTCGGGACTTGTTTCTGTCATGCCATGGACGTGAAGGTGAGATACATTTAGACATACTGTCGGGACTTGTTTCTGTCATGACATGGACGTGAAGGGGAGAGACATTTAGACATACTGTCGGGACTTGTTTCTTTCATGACATGGACGTGAAGGTGAGAGACATTTAGACATACTGTCGGTACTTGTTTCTGTCATGACATGGACATGAAGGTGGGAGACATTTAGACACACTGTCGGGAATTGTTTCTGTCATGACATGGACATGTTCACCCTTGAGGTGTAGCATTTATATAGTAGACATGAAGGTGAGAGACATTTAGACACACTGTCGGGACTTGTTTCTGTCATGACATGGACGTGAAGGGGAGAGACTTTTAGACATACTGTCGGGACTTGTTTCTGTAATGACATGGACGTGAAGGTGAGAGACATTTAGACTTACTGTCGGGACTTGTTTCTGTCATGACATGGACGTGAATGTGAGAGACATTTAGACATACTGTCGGGACTTGTTTCCGTCATGACATGGACATGAAGGTGAGAGACATTTAGACATACTGTCGGTACTTGTTTCTGTCATGACATGGACATGAAGGTGGGAGACATTTAGACACACTGTCGGGACTTGTTTCTGTCATGACATGGACGTGAAGGGGAGAGACATTTAGACATACTGTCGGGACTTGTTTCTGTCGTGACATGGACATGAAGGGGAGAGACATTTAGACATACTGTCGGGACTTGTTTCTTTCATGACATGGACGTGAAGGTGAGAGACATTTAGACTTACTGTCGGGACTTGTTTCTGTCATGACATGGACATGAAGGTGGGAGACATTTAGACACACTGTCGGGACTTGTTTCTGTCATGACATGGACATGTTCACCCTTGACCAGTTATGTAATTGCTTAGCATGAAGAGATAAACACAATCATGCTACCAGCGTAGGTCCCTCGGTCAGTCTCAGCCCTTTGTAATTAATCTGTGGGCTAAAACATGGGATCAGTTGAAATCCCCACCTCTCAACTATATACACAAATGCATTCATGGTACAGTTTGTTTGTGAAGTTGCCTCTTGGTATGTCCCAAACCTCTGGAACAATCCCTTAGTTATTGCATTGAAGCTGTTATGACCCCACCCAATAACCATATACACAGTTGCTAGGGGAACATAATCCTGCTACATGTACCAGGATTGATCCAAGTGTCATTCTCGCCCCTGATGACTTAGTTCCGTGATCATTAGATGGAAATGGTAAAGATTATCACCCTATAACCATGCATGTATATACTTGCTTGGCTTAAATAGATTAACAAAAATATGCTATCAGAACTGACTCTGGAGTCTGGTCCAACCCCTTGGAACTTGGTCCCTGGGTCACAATATCAAAACATATACGATCCCAATACCTATCATATCAACAATTGTTGGATAAACAGAGAGGAACACCCTCACGATTATTCCCCTGGCTGGGGACCTAGGTATTTGAAATGGTTCAGATCATAGATGTCGTTCCTAGGCAGGGAGAGACAAACATTGTTGTGCTACCTGTTTTGTCTCTTGGAGCTGGCCTCTTCAGTTTAGCCTTTAATGAGAACATCTTGCCACAATTGCTTAAATATCCTGGCGAGCGATACAGGCCCATGAGCCTCTTGAATATTGTTCAGACTCATTAATTTTGTTTGTTTATTTTCGATTTTCAGTTCATTTCCCAACCTGGTGAACTAAAAATGGTGACCAATAAGATTGAGAAAATGGGTTTAAATGGAATACAAAGTCAAGAAGTTTACAGTCCGATTCATCCTTTGATGGTCAGCCAAGAGACAGCCGACAAAGTTAACTCTTTCTTTGAACAAATGATGTCTAAGCATGAATGTATAGAGGATGTGACATTTAACTTTGAAATTATGGATGAAGATAAATAAAAAAGTTTATTCAGTTTGCTTGTTTTTTTCCTGATCAATACCTGGAAGCTGTTGATATATCTACAAAACGTTGATCTAGTAATGTCTTTTATTATGCTGCAGATTTTGCTTTCGTAATTTGTTTCACTTACCCTGGAAATAATTTGTAAAATTACCAAACTTTTTAAAAACTAATTCCAATGTATTTTTTCTCTAATGAAGCAATTTATGATTTCCATTATAAAAGTTGTCGTATATTCCTGCAGCAATTTGTCTTCTCCACGATAACAAAAAGATGCTTCAGATTCACCTGTCTGTATTGGCGGGAAAGGCGATGCATTTCCTGCTTTCATGTGTCGCAGACAAAAACGAAGTTAACCATCTGTACATTAGTTCTTCAATACTTTATTAATAAATATAAAATGTGGTAGTTCTTTATCAGCGATTTTTACTCATTCTGTATATAGGCACAAAGTAAAGATGATTTATTTATATTAAATTACCTGATGCAATATGTAATATTTTCATACCTATTGAAAAATTCAGCTGAAATAGAAAAAGGTGTTTCATGAAATTTTGTGTCCGAGCAATTAAATAACGACAGTAGCCACAGGTGATTAGGCTACTGCAAAGTTTCGCTTGTAAAAACGTAAAAAAGAAGGTTAAAAGCGGTCTCCGGGTTCTGAATGGGAGAGGAAACCGGAGAAAACCCAAAGTGGTCGGACAGGTTACCCAACACTCTCACACCTGATCGAGGAGTCGAATTTCGGCCGTCTTAATGAAAGGCGAGTGCGTTACCCACTGCGTGACTCGATTACCTCAGTGTAATGTCAGAAACTTAGACACGGTAACATTATACCCAACTATATCAAACACTAACAAGTTCACAATTGGCTGCTTCAAAATCAATGTAGATATATCACAAACATGGCATCCACATCAATAAATACCAGATGTGAACTTCCATTATTCCCGCAAACATGAAACAATAAAAACACCATCCACATTACATATATAACATATAGTAAACTTTTTAATGCTTTAACATTTGTGATGTTAAGCAAGCTGTATGGGCGGAACTGTGCTGCGTACCATCGTTAAGGTTGGCGGAACTGTGCTGCGTACCATCGTAAAGGTTGGCGGAACTGTGCTGCGTACCATCGTAAAGGTTGCCTTCACTCTATTACGTACACATTACAACTAATGTTCAATTGCTTCTTTCTTGGTAATTTCGTTCAGTGAATGTTAAATAATTAAACAAACTATTAGAGCAGCCATATTTGCGGGAACAAGATCCTGATTTATATGGTTACCAGTTCCGTCAGGTCACGTACCTCTATCGGAAATCATTCGGGAGTTTCCGTCATAATTTGAATTTAATATCACGTCAGAATAAGTCTTGGGCTGCTGTAAAGGTAAGCCGGGATTGGTTCCGATAGAACGCACTTCACGTGAAATATATCTTGGTTTTACTTATGTTCTGCACAGCGAAAATGATAAACACAAATGTCTTTTTTCCTCAAACACATACATAAACATAAAAAAAATGATTGAGTGTGTAGTCAAAAATATACAATTCCCCTCATACCATTTGCTACCTCGGTTACCGTCAAACTCATTTCAAGCTCACACTTTCCTTTTCGTCGCCATTCCTTCCTACCTCTCCCTAGATACATCGCTAACAACCGTTTAAAACGCCAAACTTTTGCTGCACAAATGGTGTAACTGTATTAATGTACTATAATTTTATTTAATATAATGTAAAAACTGTAACTTTACAAGGTAACAACAAACTGAATAGCATCGCATAATTTTCATTATTATGTACAACTGATTTTAATGGTGATTAGCTATATATATAGCATACCAGTATTTTTTAGCTGACCAGGCTTCGGTTACACGAACATTTTCTCAAATCTCAAGCTCAAATCTTAAGTTTGAACTCAGCTGAGATTTACCACCAAACGGGTATCACAAAGCTGGTAAAACTTAAGCTCGGCTGGTTAAACTCAAGCTCAGCTGAGCTTGCCGACGTAAACTTCCGCGGAACTCTTCACACCAAAAAGAGCACATTTCTTGTATCAAGACTGTGCAGTTTTTTTCGCGCGATGTCGCACCTGTTGTGTGTCAACATGTTTACGCTGAAATAATTTTGAAAGAATTTAATATCATTAAACGAAGAAGAGGTACAATCTTTGTAACAGTGGTTTTTAAGTACAACCACACTGTTTTTAACAACATGCATCTACTTCACTCAAAATAAATCAGAACAGGCCAAAGTGTTAAAAAGCTCCTATGATGAAAATAAAGATTAATTTGTAACCTGTGTGGTCGAAAAGATTCCGTTAACGACAAACATCTAGAGGAAATGGCTACGTCGCGGACATTGCGTTTACTTTGTACTCAATACTTGGTACCACGACGTGACAAAGAAGATACGGCAGGTGCAACACAAAACGGGCGAGTATTATGACTGATCATGGTCAGTAGACGCTTCTAACGATCAGACGACGTTCTTGAGAAATTACATTACAAGGTATTTGCATCGTTTTTGTTATTATTCAGAATGAAATCTATACTGTTATGTGTAAATTATGGAAACAAATTACTGATTGTACCCAGAATTGCATGTCAACACATTCAAATATTGTTATTACATCATCTCGGAGCATAGCCCAAATCGGTCCGACTTGGACACAAACAAGCCACGATATATCGTCTTACAAAAAGTAAAATAATATGAAAATACATCATTTAAAAGATCACATGCTCAGGTTTTCATTTAAAGTCCTTTGGTTGGAAACTATAACGCATAGATTATTTATATTTCAAATCGCACTCTGGTCCAGGGCTATCGTATTCGCGGGACCCCAGTCATCTCGGACTCATTTTAAATAAATTGACAATATATATATGGCTTACCTGCATAATTGTCTAGTAAAGATTGTGTGTGTCTCCAACACTTTGGATGATTGTAACAAATCAATAAAAAAAAACCTTGTCATTATAAGTGTTCGCCAAGCCTGCCATTTTATTGCAAACAGTTTCGTTTCGGAGCTTGAGTTCGAACTTAAGTCTGCTCTTGGGCAGTCTCAGACTTTTGGCATCAGCTTGAGGCACTGAGCTAAGTTTTTAGTTTGTGATATTGAAACACGTACGCTGAGGTTGAGTTCTTGAGTTTGGACTCAAATCTCAGCTTGAGGCGGCCTCAAGTACGTTTGTGATACTGAAGCCAGGTTTCAAGAAGACCAAAGCGACTTAGTTGTTCGGACAAGATCGTGTCTACAAGCCATTGTACCATTGAATTGGGAGGTGGTAGGGTATACAAATATTTGACAACACAAAAACAATAGACTATTTAGCGTTTTAAAATAACGCATCCTCGATACTCCAGGTGTTACGTTTACTAACGCTCTCTGTAGTGTCATCCTCGATACTCCAAGGGTAATTCTCTTTGCACCCCTCGAACATCAAAAGAATCTCCCGGTCACGTAACGGTACAACAGGCTTTTAAGTGGTTGTCACTCCTTTGTAATCCTAAAAGGACAGGTATCTGCCTAGCGATTGGTCAGGTTTTCTTTACTCTAGTCAAATCAAATAGCTAGCCGCGTGCCTTCGATTTTGCTATGACATATTCCAGGGGTGCAGAGAGCGAAAGGGAGCGTAACTCCTGGAGTATCGAGGATGATAGTAACGTGGATTAAATAAAATAATATCTTTATCTAAATGGGAATTTCCGCGCGGCAACGTTTGGTTTAAGTTGGGTTTTTCAGAGCTTAACGCCATTTAACAGATATGAACTTTATTAAGGACCATATTCGTATTTAAGAAAGACTGAAAAAGTCAATAAACTATGATAAAATTTCATTTATGATTCATTAGGAATGACCGATTGAAAAATGACTTGTGCTAAACTGAAAAAAATGTACCCTCGGATTGAGATTTCTTTGTGTAAATCACACCGACTTGGTAGATTATTCCCAAATGCATTCTAAGTGATTTAGTGAGTAGACTTTATCTACTAAAGATCTCATCCACAATTATGCATAAAATATATAATCAATGTTATTATATTCCTCCCAAAACATGATATGTAAATAACGACAAGTTACAAAGGTGACACGTTTCATACCATGACATTAAAAAAATAGCATATTCTTAGAGATAAAAAATATTGCTTGTCATAATATTTTTAAAACAATTTCACACAGTCTTGCGGACATACTTCCATCTTTGTAAAACTACAATCACAAACTCACCTAATTATTAAAAAAATAAAATAAAAAAGACGAACATTTCAAATATCATAGTAACAGTACCGCCAGGAGGAAAGTCTGCACGGCTAGGCTTTGTTTACTACATGTTCCTNTATCATAGTAACAGTACCGCCAGGAGGAAAGTCTGCACGGCTAGGCTTTGTTTACTACATGTTCCTTTAACAATTGTATACTTGTACATGTGTATAAATGTATTAACAATTGTATACTTGTACATGTGTATAAATGTATTAACAATTGTATACTTGTACATGTGTATAAATGTAGTACTAGCTTTTTCAAAGCCGCTTTTCATCCTCCACACTAAGATAACACACGTTGAACCTTATCACACCAAACCGTATGCTACTTTGTACAGGTGGAGTTTGGGAAACAGGAACTTGTACGCCACAACATTAGCTATACCATACAAAACGAGAAACAGCACCACAGCCCGGAAAATGTTTGTAGACGTCCAAAAAGGTGTTGTTGGCAGTTTATTGATTTTGTTAAGAAACACCAAGTCATTTACCCATTGGTCATCTGTCCGCAGTCTACCCTGAAGCTCAAATCCTTTTTGTTCCATCATCCATTCCAACGGCGCCTGATGAACTTTGTTGGAGTATAAGTTTCGTATTCCTACGAAAGTAACGTTTAGCTTTTCGAACGGAAGTGACATCAACAAATCGTGTTCGCTCTGACTTTCACTTCCTAGTTCGTAAAAATTTAAGCTAAGGAGAGTAATGACGTTCTGTTCCAGTGCTAACAGGATGGAGTAGAGAGGAAAACACTGAGCAGTATAACTTTCTGATCCTGGCTTGCTTAGGTCGGTACTATCCGGTCTGAACAGAGTCCTCTGAAAATCCACAAATCTATACATGATCATATCTGTATCTACTACGTCGTGTAACATAGCAACGCTAATAAACAGACCTGTTCAGCTTCCAGTAAAACTGTTCCTGCATACTTGAGTGTCCTATACATTTTGAGCAAGTTTATAGTTTTAAAACATTTCTTTTGCTTATTTAGATTTATGTGTTAGCATGTACCATAGTAGGGCTTTACCACTATATATTTACCATCGTATGGCAAGCCACTATATAATCCTACCAAATTCTGTTGGCATTCATATAAGCTATGAATGCCATGGACCAATTTCGATGTCATCATTATTATGACGTCATAATTGTTAAATTGGATACCACTGGCCCTCATTGAGCGATGACTGTTCTAATAATTAAACGAGCATACACGATACATACAATATTTTTGAACTAAAAGCTGAATAGTGAAATTGAGTATGAGATGAACAGATTCCAAAAAATTGGTAAATATAAGTATTGAACTGCTTTCAGTTAGCATTCATAAGCAAAATGAATGCCATCTGGACAAAGGCAAATTCAAAGAAGCGCTTGCATATGAATGCCAGCTGAAAGCAGTTCAATGCTTAACTAACCTTACCACTTTCAGATGCCGATTGTGACGTCATTTTTATTATGACGACATAACTGTTACGTTAGATACCACTGACCCTCCCTCTCGCCAAATAGCAGTTGAATTCATCGAACAAGCATATTCGATAAATACATTATTTGGACTAATGATAATATTAAGTGTAGTTGGATTTTCTGTGAGACGATCATAATATTATTCCAAAAAATGGTAAATATAAGTATTGAACTGCTTTAAGTTGACATTCATCGGCAATGTGGAAAAAGGCAAATCCAACAACGTTGCGGGCTTTAACGAATTTTCCTTCGCCAGTTGGCATTTATATTGCCTATGAAAGCAATGCTTAATATTTTCAGTTATGAATTGCATGTTATATCCCTATCTCTGTTCAGGGATGTAGATAAACCAAGTACACCGTCTCTCATCAGATGTCTGCTATTACAACAGCTTGTATTACATTTGTAACAACAAGAACACGTGTGTTTGACTTAAGAGTGTCCCCTTTTGACAAATTAACAGTTTTCTACCCCGTAACCGCAGCCTACCTTTGTTGGGTATGATTTGTCGGTGACACACGCATTAAGTAGGTACGCTTTCCGATTTTTGTTCCTTAGTAATTCAAACTTGACAGGATCCGGCTCGACCAGTAGTCCCGTCCAACGACGTGTCTTCTCAAAGAACAGCGATGTAGACTCACTCTCCCCTGCGAAGGCCCTAGTCTCAACGTAAAACACTCCTTCCTGGAGCAAGCAAAGGCAAGTCAACTAGTATAGTCTCAACCAAGAGTATACATCGAATGGCTGATACATATATAAATTATCAAGCAAACGAGCGGAATACTGTGATAACAAAAATAACCTTTGGACGTTACGAAATTCATTTGCATGGACCTAAGAAGCCTCTACAAGAAACGTTTAACACGCTGAGATGCACTGCTGTATGTACGGCGGTAGGGACTAATTGTAAACCACTCATAAAGTATTTATCCGAGTGTAGATTTACAATGTTAGTAGATCAGGTATTTCTGTTAGCAATTTTAGAATTAAAATTCTCAACAAGTATGTATATAGGAATATATTAGCCAGAACTAAATACGTTACAGTGAATCAAGAGGTTAACAGTATATCAATTGTTGTTACTGGAACGTGCGGTCTGACATCCGTCCAGCCACTACTGAATAAGCGCGTTCCAAAGTTACCGGAAAAGCTAGTTTGCGAGTAAGGAAGTATTTCCCTTCATACACATTCGTTAGCTCCTACACTGTTCCCCCTCTATGACGTCTCGTTCTCGTGACCTGGGAAATCCTGTGGGATCTCATTGTGTACCTTCCCCTTGCCATCGGGAACTGGCCTTACAAAGTCACACAGGATACATTTTTGCTTTGCAAATCTATAACATTTGAAAAATTAGATCAATTACACTAAGCATTATTTATTACCGTTCCGTGTAGTCTTTGATCCACATAGGAAGTCTGACCAGCCGAGAATCGGAGGTTGGTGGGATCCTCTAGGTTATAGGTATCGCCCTCTGACGGCACTTGTATCAAGTAATTTCGGATGAGATCGACCAGCTTTGCATCGTCCATCGCGGTCCTCTCTTCATTCATTGTCTCAATCGCTTTATTGAAATCAAACGCCGGGTCCTTCATTTGCGGAATTTTCCTCACATTGAAATGTTTACTAGACAGTTTACTTCCGGTATGTACTTGAAGTGGCACTTCCGTTTTTGGAGATCGAAGATACCAGAAAAAGAACACAACAAAAGTAATTCCGCCTGCGTAAATAGCCCACAGAGGGAGGGACTTGTAGCGGATAGTCGTCATGGTGCCGACGGGGTATGTCACTTGACCCTTCTCTCCCACAAAGCGCTTGACCCGAAGATCGAACTTGGTGACGGCGTTTGGCTGTATGGCTAAAACAAGCAATATAATAGGCATTACATGCTCATGTTGTATTAAGGTTTGTCAAACTAGCCGAATGTTAGTAACCGGAAACTGAATAATTTACCGACCAATTACCGGTTAATACCAACTACCGGTTAATAACAGCTACCGGATAATACCAACTACCGGATAATACCAACTACCGGATAATACCAACTACCGGATAATACCAACTACCGGATAATACCAACTACCGGATAATACCAACTACCGGATAATACCAACTACCGGATAATACCAACTACCGGATAATACCAACTACCGGATAATACCAACTACCGGATAATACCAACTACCGGATAATACCAACTACCGGATAATACCAACTACCGGATAATACCAACTACCGGATAATACCAACTACCGGATAATACCAACTACCGGATAATACCAACTACCGGATAATACCAACTACCGGATAATACCAACTACCGGATAATACCAACTACCGGATAATACCAACTACCGGATAATACCAACTACCGGATAATACCAACTATCGGATAATACCAACTACCGGATAATACCAACTACCGGATAATACCAACTATCGGATAATGCCAACTACCGGATAATACCAACTATCGGTTAATACCAGCTATCGGATAATACCAACTATCGGATAATGCCAACTACCGGATAATACCAACTACCGGATAATGCCAACTATCGGATATCGGTCAACTTGATAATCAAGCAATGTTAATGTCCAAATGCATTTTACTACACTAAATAACAGATTTAAATAACAGTTTTAGCATACAAAATTGTATAAGTACGTCACCTTAGTTCCAATAGCTTACAATAATGGTCAGGAAGTTATTGCTACTCAAAATTATATGAACAATTTATTGAAGTAAGGTTTTTTTTATAACCTTGCCACGAAATTCATCATAATAATATAGTTTGATACTCCTTATGAACGATTCATGTCGAAAAATTGAGAAGGGACAGTAATTGCTTGGCGTTTAAAATCATTAATGAAGACATCCTTAACTGTACAACCAAGCATATGTTTTAGCGGCAGCTGTCGGTAAACAACCAGCTACCAAAAATGTATACTAATGAGGTTGATGTCAGCCCCGTGCCAAGACCCGTGGAGTGATTGGCTGGAAGCGCAACCATGTTTTCGCTAAACCAACCAACACTGCATGTTTCCACACGAGGCTGACGTCATCCTCATTAATATACAAAAAGTTGCACGATGACTGTGAAAAACTCTGAAATGGCGTGTGTTTTTGGAGGAAACGGAGATCATGTCCGCGGAAGGAGAATACATTTTAAATGCATATAGGAGGTTTTAAAAGAAATATTATCCATCTTTCCAACGGTACTAAGCATTTTTCCGTAGATCAACCAAAATGTTGTTCTTGATGCAAGACAATTAGGTGGGGTCGACTCTTCGACATCGAGAGCTTTCCGCTCTTCTCGTATATATATGATTACTCTGAACACTTAAGTTTAGGTCCAAATATATCCCCAGGTTCCTTTGATATTCACAACTTGCATATAATCTCCCTTGTTGAACTCACTTACTGAACAACGAAACAAGTTTGTAATCCAACACTTGACTGTTACCATGGATATTTTATTTGTTGTAGTGTTTAATCCTTGGACAAACTCGCGCGGATCTGAATCCCCTCTAATCTGTTTGTTTGTGTAAAATCAACTTAGGCAAGACTTTACTCCACATAGAATACAGTTTATAACATACACAGGTAGACAACTGCCGCCAGCACACGTACAGGCGTGCATTACACACATGGAGGCACGGTCTTAAATGTCTGTTCCTGTTAATAGGAAATTAAATCAAACATGGATCAGAAAACACGCTCCAAACATAACGTTCTGTTATCATTCATGTCACATTGAAAGGAAGCATACACATCATACGTACACGTCACAGTGGAAACATACACGTCATAGTGGAAACATACTCGTCATAGTGGAAACATACACGTCATAGTGGAAACATCCACATCACACGTACACATCATAGTGGAAACATACACGTCATAGTGGAAACATACACATCACACGTTCACGTCATAGTGGAAACATACACATCACACGTACACGTCACTTTTTGACAATTGCAGAAAATTAAAATATACGTTTAACGTGTACGTGTGATGTTTTAAACAATTTCATGCATTTATTTGGAGGGCTTGGAAAGCTGATGGTCTGGTTTTTAAAGGGGAACTAAAATAGACATACGTTTTGTGGCTCAAAATGACCATAGGACATTCTGATGGAAATCTGTATATCGTTACACTTTTAAGATCATAATCACTTTTTTTGATCTTCTGTAAGAAATGTGGCCCAATTTCAGTATCGGGCTAAACACTGAGCTGGAGGGAAATTGTACGAGTATTACAGGGATGGACTGTCCAGGGGGGGGGGGGATTGTACGAGTGTAACGTTAACAAGGCTGGACTGTCCCGAGGGAGGGGGATTGTACGAGTGGAACAGGGCTGGACTGTCCAGGGGGAGGGGATTGTACGAGTGGAACAGGGCTGGACTGTCCAGGGGGAGGGGGATTGTACGAGTGAACCAGGGCTGGACTGTCCAGGGGGAGGGGGTTGTACGAGTGTAACAGGGCTGGACTGCCCAGGGGGCGGGGATTGTACGAGTGTAACAGGGCTGGACTGCCCAGGGGGCGGGGATTGTACGAGTGTAACAGGGCTGGACTGTCCAGGGGGAGGGCGATTGTACGAGTGTAACAGGGCTGGACTGTCCAGGGGAGGGGGATTGTACGAGTGTAACAGGGCTGGACTGCCCAGGGGGAGGGGATTGTACGAGTGTAACAGGGCTGGACTGTCCAGGGGGAGGGGATTGTACGAGTGTAACAGGGCTTGACTGTCCTGGGGGAGGGGGATTGTACGAGTGTACCATGGCTGGACTGTCCAGGGGAGGGGGGTTGTACGAGTGTAACAGAGCTGGACTGTCCATAGGGAGGGGAATTGTACGAGTGTAACAGGGNGGGGGGGGGGGGGGGGGGGGGGGGGTGAGATTGTGCGAGTGTAACATGGATGGACTGTCTAAGTCATACCGCCAACCAAAGTTATAGTTGGTACACCTTGGGTTTATTTGTTTATTCACACAACACCCGGTAAAGCTTCCTACAACATGCATATAGTTCAAACATAATCTTAACGGGGGATCAAAGCCAGATCTCTGACCATTGTATTTCAACACCTTTTTTTCTTTATTGGATTACATACAGTGCACATTCAGTAATTGGTTCATTGGTAAATTGCATACTCTACAAATCATGAGGAGTAAAATATCTTTCTTACTCATCCTTCTAGATTATATTACAGTATCATTTTTATAATAAGAATGATATTTTCCAAAATATATAATCTATATGTATTTACATTTCATCATTCGAACTACAATTATTATTTAACACAGCTCAATTAAAGTAACAGGGGAAGCAACTCTGAGTAACCTCTTTTTACACGATTAGTCCTGCTAAAGTCCGTGATATTTTAATTTCAACGAATCAAAATGAGCAGAGTAAAAGAGATACCAACATGACTCCTGGTCCTAATACATGTACGTTTTGCTTGGAGACGTTTCACCCATAAAAAAACCCAGCGGCCTGGCCGATATTGTTCAACGAGGTGGAACGGCCATAAACATACACACCTGTATAGCTAAATCTACAAATAGTCTGTATATCTATACTGTAACTGTATCTACCTGTAACCAGTGTATACTAGGTTATGTCCTATGTTGTCGCAAGTATCGCCATTGCTGACTTGCAAATGGTGTACTCAATGGAAAGTACATCTATAAATAATAAACGCATATATGTATACAAGCACCCGGAACACTAACTACCCCGTGTTTGATTATTATTACCTGCGGTCTATATACACCTGTCGTACTTACTTGTTGTTTGGGTTAGCGTCTCCGATCACTGCTCCACCTTCACTCCTCAAGTTCTCGAGAAATGTCTCACTCCTTTCTTCCTGCCTCTCGGGACACTAGATTACTTCGACATGAAATATATACATCCCAGCCACGTTGGGGACATGTTTGGTCATGTGACTCAATAACAACGGCTAATCGATATCTCATCACGGGTATTGTGTGTTGCGGGTAATTTTTGCCCCAAATATTAAAGTTCCGGACTGTATACACCATGTGTTCAGCATAATCGTGAACTTTGTTTAGCTTGTTATTAAGTAGGTTTTTTGGCCTTTTGAACGTTTGTCTGAACAACGATCAAAACAAGGTTTCATGGCAGCATTGATAAGCAAAACAAGGTATCTCATAAATATCTAAGAAATATGTCATAAACAATATATCTGTATCTGGTATTATATCAAATTCCTATTATTATCGAAGGCGATATGTAGGGACTTTTACAGAATGTGTTGTACAACTTGACATCTGCTAACCCTCAGTCCCCGGGCTTCATTTAGTACGTAGGTCCATTGTTGAAGGACTTCATATTAATGGTATCATTTCATCTACTGTTTTACTGTTTGGTGACGTCATGATTCCAACGCCGGCGAAGATATACTATTGTCTAACTTTTAAAAACATGTTCATCTTATATTTATTTAACGGATGAAACAGATTGAACACTTTTCAGTGCGCTGTCAATACTTAAAAGACTAGTTCTATTATTTCAGAAGTACGACTTTGAGGTCTACAAACCAGGTGGAGAAATATTGTAAGCGGATCATCTCAGCCGCTCAAACCTTACCTTAACTGGTACCTGACCTGCGAGTAAGTGAGGTACATTTGACAGCTAAGCTACCAATCATCGCGAAATGTACAAGTGCCTCCAAAAGGAGACAGCAAATGATCAGGAATTGCAACAGCTTATGGATGCTGTCCTCGAAGGTTTGCCAGTGTGATGTGCTACAGCTAGCAGTCAGCCATGCACCCTACCGGAACATTCGCGACGGAATCGCGTACGATGCTAGTATACTGTTCGAGTCTCACAAAGTGATAGTTTCAAGAGCCCTCAAGAAGGAAATGCTTGTGAAAATGCACTAAGCTCACCTGGGTATTGTCAAATGTAATGGTTGTGCTCGGGAAGTTCTGTTCGGGCAAGGATTGTCCAAAGACATTGAGGAGTAACGTTGATGAATGTCAGATTTTGCTAAACACATGAACGCTAACCGAAGGAGCCAATGATACCTTCCAGAAAGGTCCAGGTCAAAAATCGGCATGGCTTGTTTAAGTACAAAGGCTCACATATCTCCTGACTTTCGACTATTGTTCCAACTGACTAGAGGTTAAAGAAGCTAGAATCCCTCCACACAAAACCAGTCATCATACATGTCAAGAATGTGATTGCCGAGTATGGTATACCAGATGAGGCAATAAGAAACATTTCGGAAATGTAGAACTCAGAGAGTTTGTGGGAGAATATGGTTTTACACAAACACCATCTAGCCAATATCATGCACAAAGCAAACAGCCGAGTAGGGAGCATGGTCCAGACTGTGTTACCGTTAAAGGCAAGATGTCAATTATTGGCTCTTCTTGAGTTTAGAAACACCAGGATAGATGGTGTAGGAATGTCGCAAGCTCAAATGTTATTGGGACTTCGTGTAGAAGCACCAATACCCACACCAGCTCCACCGTGAACGTCCTGTGTGAACAACATTTACACATATGCTAGTCTGGAAAAAACGCCAAGCAAAGCAACAGGAAAACTTCAACGAACGGGCTAAGCAGACACCCTTGCAACAGCTGGACCCGGGAGATATTGTAATGGTGAAACCTTCAACAGAAGAAAGTTGATCCTTACACGTACAGTTGTGGGACCGCAAAATGCACCAAAAATAGCGTGCGCACACCGTGCATACATCGTTCACACACCGTCCGCACATCGTCCACACATGGTGCGCACAACTGTGCGATTTAGCAATCGTTCGCCCCGTTGTGCGCTTCTCTCCGCATAACTGTGCGATTTGGTATCATTTGTAGATCAAAATTACGTAATGACAAAAATATGGAAGGCTTGTATGCGATAATGTACACTGTGTATATAATCTGTAATTTCTCATCACAATAATCAAGATTATACAATTTCAAAATGCGTGTTACACAGTATTACAGCGACCGTTAGGCTGTCGAGAACGGGTTTGGCTCCAAGGTAAACAGAACAGGTAAATAACAATTTGATGAGTGTCCAGAGTTTTACCCGACCAGTGCCTGACACACAGAGCTGATATGCGATACCGTTTGACCGTAATGAATAGTATTTGTTGTTTGCATTCGTTTGCCTATAGCTCCCCTAAATCAAATCAAAATTACAATATATTAATAACCGCCAAACGTAATTACAAAAGGTTGGTGTTTAAACTTAAAAGAGAATATAAACGATATGAAGGCGACATGCTGGTCCTTTTGAAAAGAAATGATCCAAGGAAATTTTATAGTATCTTTAATAATCGGAAGTCGAACAGAGCTATGAATACACTCACAATAGATGACTTCTATAGACACTTTAAATATCTGGCGCAAAAGGAGAATGATGGCGCTGACCAACATGTTCCTAATGTTAATATAGAGTCAGTTTATGAAGATCTTGATTCTAATATCACAACAAAAGAAATTGTTAAAGCCATTGAAAACCTGAAATCAAACAAAAGTTGTAGTGAAGACTTAATCATAAACGAAATTTTTATTCAAGGAAAGCATATTCTGGTGCCATATTTGGAACGGTTGTTTAATGCTATTTTTAGATCTGGGTTTTTCCCTGAATCTTGGTCACAAGCATGTATTGTTCCTGTTTTTAAGAAAGGCTGTATTAACGACACTAATAATTATCGTGGTATATCACTTGTAAGCTGTTTTGGTAAATTATTTACATCAATCTTGAATAATAGAATTATGACATGGGAAAAAGAAAATTGTATAATAACAGATGCTCAGTTTGGTTTTAGAAAAGGCAGTTCAACCATTGACGCCATATTTGTTTTACAAACATTAATTAACAAGAAATTGCGTAAAAAAGAGAGACTTTACTGTTGCTTTATAGATTTAAAAAAAGCATTTGATTTTGTTAATAGAGGAAAACTGTGGAGTAAATTAATACACCAAGGTATTCGTGGAAAATTTTTAAAAATATTATTATCTTTGTATGATAATGTCAAATCCTGTGTAAAATTTGAGGGTCAATTAAGTCATTGTTTCCCTAATTATACCGGTCTCTTACAAGGGGAAATATTGTCACCTGTGTTGTTTTCTTTGTATGTGAATGATTTTGAAATTAATTTTATTAATGATAATTGTCCAAGTATTGATTTACAGATGCTTAACCTTTTCCTGCTAATGTATGCTGATGATATGGTTTTTTTCGCTGATAGTCCAGCTGCATTGCAAAACATGTTAGATTCTTTACACAGTTACTCTAGAAAATGGGATCTGGAAGTCAACATTGATAAAACAAAAGTCATGGTTTTTAGAAACGGGGGAAACATAAGAAATAATGAAGTGTGGAAATATAATAATGAGAACATAGAAATTGTTGACTGTTTCAAATATTTGGGAATGTTTTTTAATTATAATGGTAAATTTTATAAAACCCAAAAGCATTTAGCGGACCAAGGAAGAAAGGCTTTATTTTCATTATCATCCTCTTTAAAGAACCATTGTTTGAATTTGGAAACCCAATGCTCTGTCTTTGATATTTATGTCAGCAGCATCTTAAGCTATGGTGCAGAAATATGGGGGTTTCACAAAGCTCCTGATATAGAGAGAGTTCATTTGAATTTCTGCAAAAAAGTCCTTAGAGTATGTAAATCTACATTCAATGATTTAGTTTATTGTGAATTGGGTAGACTACCATTAATTGTTACAAGAAAGCTAAAAGTATTCAAATATTGGTTGAAGTTGACGAAATCTGATAATTTGATATTAAAAACTTGTTATGATGAATGTGTCAACGTGAATGATCCGTGGATTTGTAACATTAAGAATGAATTAACTGCCCTAGGTCTTGGTTATATTTTTGAATCGAATCTACCATTGGTAAACACTTTTGAAATTATTGAACACAGATTGAAAGATGTTACTAAGCAAAATATGTTGGCAAAGATAGCAGCTTCATCAAAAGGTAGACTATATCAATATCTTATAGACAGTCATAGTATTCAGTTTTATCTCCGTAAACATATTGAAACAAAATACAAATATATGTTAACTAAATTTAGAACGTCGTCTCATCAACTGAATATCGAAAAGGGTAGACACAATAATATCATTCGCAGAAATAGAAACTGTAGCAAATGTGATTTGGGAGACGTCGAGGACGAATTTCATTTCATTTTTGTATGTCCTTTTTATAATGATTTGAGGTTAAAGTATATAAAGAAGTATTATTATAAGAGTCCCTCTGTTTACAAACTTGTCCAACTTTTATCTGTAAATAATGTCAAAGAGTTGTCAAATCTAGGTAAATATTTATATCTAGCCACTAAGCGGCGAAATTGATTAATTAGCTACACGTATTTATAATTTTTGTGCTTTTGTATTATGTTCTTTGTTTAGTTTGCACTTGTATGCTTATAGTCACTCTCCTATAACATATATACATGTACAATGTGTCATGATTAGTTTGTACCTATAAGTCTTAAGACTTTTGGTGAATAAAGAACTTGAACTTGACCTGGATTTTCACATCCACGGCCTTACCCGACGAGTTACGTAAGTGCCCCAGGCGGGGAGAAAACTACAGTCCAGGTACATGTACGGGATTGTGTTGTAATTTTACATGTGTCGATTAAGTTTGTTTAAAATCACAGAAAACACAATTTCTAAATATAAGAATGTATAGACAGAAAGATAAGTTAATAGATGTCGCTAGAATATAGAAACATACGTAAACATCAAGTTTATATGTTTAAACACGAAACCGTATAAATTGTTAAGGCATTCCTCAATTTAGACCAACCACGATTGTTATCGAACAACGTCCGTCCATCGTGCGCACATATGTGCGCATGCAATGATCGTCCAGCTTTTTATCGTTCACCCATCGTGCACACACCGTTCACACACCGTGCACACATCATGCGCACACCGCACATCGTGTAACGTTGTGCGATCCCACAACTGTAATTTCAATT